TAAAAAACAAATTCATACCTAAACCACGAAGTCCACTAAGTCATTAGTTGGTCACTAATTCAATAGTTAATTACTGAATAAATAGTTCTTTTAACCTATAAAAAGAGGTATTTTTCATACATTTAAGTATCTATGTTTTTAGATTAAGATTATTTTCTCATACATTTAAGCATCTATGTTTTTAGATTAAGATTATTTTCTTAATTTCTTTCTTTATAATGTTCAAGTTTTATTAATCTCCTGTTTATACTTTTCATTTTATTTACTATTCTTAGTTAATTTATATCTTAATTATGTTCTTATCTTATTTATTTATACTTTTTTTTTCATGTCTAGCTAAGTTAATATTGTCAAGGTGAAAATATTTTACTAATGGTTTTAGAATGGTTGTATAATATAAACTCAACATGAACTTCAATGTTTATATTTAAGAAAGTTTGTATTAATATGTCTTATCTTTTTATGTTACTAATTCTTAATACCTTGCTTGTTAAATGATTAATCTAGATTTGTGTTGTATAACACTTGGTACAATAAATGTTTGATCCTTCATAGTCCTCGGCTGACATCGTTGTTAAAAGAGGAACTTGATTTGTTGTTAACATAAGTTAGCATCATGAATTCCTGATAATATTTAAAAGTATGGTGTTACTAAAATAAGATAATAATATGATCATGTTAAGAATTTATAATAAACTATTAAGGATAAATTATTTGATTGAAACATTATTTGTGTGTGGTTTTCAATTGAGTAATAAAAATAGTTTATATTATACTTATTTTTCTAATATCATTAGTGTATCCTCTAACCTTAACAATTATTTTTATCATTATTTAATCTTCACATTAATCTCACATCTCAAAGTTCTATTTAATTCTTTGTTTTATTATATATATATATATATATATATATATATTATTTGCAATTTATATAATTGACTTCCATATCAATCGACCCCAATTTTGTCGGGTTATTTATTACTTTAACACTATTACACTTGGTATAAAATATCAACTCTTTGATCGTGTCAAGTTACACTTAGTATAAAATATCAACTCTTTGATCATGTCAAGCATCGTTGAGAAACTCAAGAAAACTCTTGCTAAAATATTGATGCTATCTTTGATTTTGAGTTCATAACAACATTGGAAGGCTCTACAGAAGGTGTTAAACGAGGCATATGGACCTCAAGATATCAACCAAGAAACCATGGAGCACCTGGTAGGTAAAATCCTCAAATTATATGCACTTCACCAAAGATGAGTTGGACCTTGATGGTACTCGACATAATAAACAATTATATATCATCACAGTACTATGCAAAGATATCCTGATATATAAGGTATTGATCAATAATGGTCTAATATTGAATGTGTTGTCAAGATACATGTTAAGCGAGATGTTCGTCGATGAATCACATATGAGGCCAAGTACTATGATGCCAAGGGCATATGACAACTCACCAAGACAAATAATTGGAACCTTAGAAATAGAGTTATATATAGAGGCAACAAGTGTTATTCGTGACATTACAAGTGATGAATATTCATCATTCCTATAATATGTTGTTAAGAAGACCTCGGATCCACATGGTTGGATCAGTATCTTTCTCATTACATCAATAATTGAAATACATAATGAATAAGATGTTGGTAATTGTTAATGCTAAATAAGCAGTTTTCATAATAAGAAATGTGGTTGTACCGCTCCTCGAGGCATAAGATTGTAAGGATATGAATATTCATGCTTTTAAAATCATGAATGTTAAGTGGGTTTCTAGGAACACGGTATTGAGAAGGCTAAAGATTTCAGAAGCAACAAGAATGATAGTTAATTGCTTGTTAAAACATGGCATTCCCTTCGAGCTGACACCATAATGACAAAATAATTTAATTTAATGAAACTAAAATATATTGAATAGAGACTTAGACTCGAATATAAGCTTAAGAAGGATGACTATAAGCGAGTTTCCAATATCAAGAAAAAAGCAAGGATGACAAAAATTAAAGGAAGAGAGCCAGAAAAAAAGAGTTAACAATCCCACCACCCTAAACAATATTCCAAAAACCTGCTCAAGTAATTAGATATGGCGATAGAGTGTTAAAGATAGTAAGCCTCCACATCAATGCTTTAGAATGTGAGAACAAGGAATAGATTAAGGAGATAAAGATCATAATGGAGAATGGGATATTGTCATAGTTGTTTGTTCACACCATCAATGAAATTCTTGTAAAAGCCTTTATGAAGAAGCTGGTCAATAGGGAAGTGTATCAAAATTGAAAAATAAAGCTTATTCCTATTATGTTCAAAAAGTAATTGTTTTGTTTGATTATGCTTACTAAGATGTCTTGTCCTGTTATATTTTGCTTCTTTTTTTTTTTTTTACCTTTTTATGGTCTTGTTTGCAATCTAGCTCATGATGCCATTATATTTTCTTTTGTCAATGAGCCTTTTATCTCAATGAGATTGTGCATTTCTTGTGTTCAAAATGTATCTTTGTTTCATTTTATTTTTTCATACAAATACACAATTACACGAGCATACCTTACAAATTCAAGAATTTTAAAAGTAAATCTTTTACCAATTCACAAACTCATTGCATTAAGAATAATTGGTCAAATTTTGATAACAGAATTATAATTATAATGGGTGATGAAGAATGGAAAGATAAGGGGATAAAAGAGTTTACCATATTAGTTAAAAAAATCTAAGAAATCTTAGAAACCTGCCAAGAAAGAACTAAAAGGATAAATTTGGATATCAAACAAGATAAAAAAGAATTGAAGATTGGTACTCTTATTATGAATTAGGAAATAGATGGTTTGATCTTGTTATCACAAGAATATAAGGATGTTTTTTCTTGGGTTTATGCAAACAATGCCCGGTTCGGATACTAACATCATGATACATTGAATTTCCTTGAAGAAAAGAAGCAAGCTGGTTAAATAAAAGACAAGACAAATGTGGTCGAATATGATACTCAAAGTAAAGGCTAAAATGTAGTAGCAACGGGATGTAAGATTCTTGGATGCAGTTTATTATCCTCAATGAGTGACTAATGTAGTTGTAGTTCTCAAGAAAGACAGTAGGATTAAGGTATGTGTAGATTATAAATATGAATAAGGGAAGCTCAAAGGAAGACTTTCATTTACCTTATATAGATATCTTAGTTGACAATGTCGTAAAAAGTATCATGTATTTATTCATAGATGGGTTTTTAAGATACAATCATATTATACTGGCAAAGAAAAACTAAGAGAAAACAACATTTGTCATGTTGTGGGGAATCTTCTAATACAAGATAATGTCATTTAGAATGAAGAATATTGGGAACACTTTTCAAAGGGTAATGATCACCTTAGTCCATAATATAATGCATTAAAAAGTGGATGTATACGTGAACGATGTACTTGCTAAATCAAGGAAAGAAAAATATCATTTGCAAGTTTTGAGAAAGTTGTTCGAAAGGTTATGAAAGTTTCAATTAAGATTGAATCACATAAAGTGTTCATTTGGAGTAAAAATAGAAAAAATATTAGGTTTCATAGTGAGCAGTCAGGAACAAAAGTTGACCAAGATAAAGTAAAGAAAATCCATGATATACCGACATTTAAGATAGAGAAAGAATTTAGAAGTTCCATATTTTTAGTGAAAAATCTATGTTACAAGATTGGTCTTACCGATAAAAACTCAATCTTGCACAAGTGTATAAAGACAAGCTATACAAATCAAGCTCAAGACAACATTTAAGAATAATGTTATTTCATATTATTAGTTATATACACGTGCGTGCCCACTCACACACACCTTCCAAGTAGAAAACATCTCTTGATTCTAAGATGATATTGTCACTTATTTCATTAACTTCTAACTTGGTTACTAAAATTATAAAACTAACACTTTTAAAATATTGAAATTGTGATATATAGGATGACATATTTTTTAAAAAAAAAATTGAAACAATGTGGATGACATATTTTTTTTAAAAAAAAATTGAAACAATGATATATTGACCAAGGTTAACCCCTGTTAACCTACAAAACCCTCGATTTGAGCCATGAGACTGTAATAACTTCATAAAACGCAAATCAAAACAAATTAAAAAGCTCAATTCTAATAAACCAAATATCAAAGGGTGAAAAAGAAAAAAAATATTCAATTTTAAAAAAAAACTCGTGATTCAAGTAAACTTTGATAAAAAAAAGTCAAATCTGCAACCTGAGCCATGAAAATAGAATTGCTCTATGAAAAAAAATTAAAAAAAAATACAAAAACTAACTCTTTATCAACCTATTATCAGAGTATGAAATTAAAAAAAATTTGATTTAATACAACAAATTTATAATGTAAATTGTAAGGCTAAAATAAATCTATTAAGAAAACTATGTTTTTTTATTATAAAAAATAAAATGATAAAAAAATATTATGCCATATTTAAAAAAAATTAATATAAATATTAAAAAAATAATTTTATTTATCCTCAACAAATAAAAAAAAAACACTAATCAAATATTTATGTAGAAAAAACTTTCGTAGGCATTTCAAATACCGACAAAATTATCTACAGAAACAACATACCGTGGATAAATTTCTCGTTAGAGATTCGCATTCCATCCACGCATTTGCGGGCGACTTCCACTTTCGATGGAATAACAACAGATTGCTCGCGCCAAAATATATATATATATATATATATACATACATACATATACCTCCCATCTTCATCAAGAAGTACAATGGTAACCTTGATTTCAAGTTTTGAGTTTAAAATTAATATTTTTCTTTTTGCTAGAAATATGCTAGTGATGTCTGTGTATTATTTTTTAGCGATGAAAATGAAGTTTTTTTCTAACCCGGGGCGCAACGTTTAACTACACTAATAAGCTAAATAGGAGATGTGTCCTCGGTTTTTTTATTTCTTTCTTTCTTTCTTTCTTTTTACCTCCCCATTACTTTTATTAACACCAAGGAAAGCAGAAATTCACAAAAACCAAGAGAGTGACGAACAGACCTCACATTTCAAACTCCAATGGATCATCAGTGGCATACATCCGAGTGTTAGTCTCATTTTCTGCAATCTTCAATTACAGAACAGCCACATTGTTGCAACACTAGAAAAATCAGTGGCATACATCCGAGTGTTGTTACAGTGGGGGGAAAAACGAATCTTGATTTCTCCAATAATCTAGAAAGTTTAGTAAGAATTATGATTCCAAGAAGAGGGATGAAAACTCACAATTTCTTGTGTCCAGCATTAAAACTATGCCAAAATCTTCACTTCATATCCCTGTCTACCAAAACTTGAGTTACTACTACATTTTACACTATACTCGAGCCCTCAGCGACGCCAGAGGCGGCCTTGCTGCCGTTGTTCTTGCATTCGCCTGTATCATCATTTAATTCAAATCAAAATGCCATACAAATAAGATTGTGCACGCTCAATTTAGATCTCACATTGGTATCTCAGCTTCTCAGCATAGAATTTCACACATTCATCAAAAATAAAATTAAACAGACAACAATGCAAAGTACCTCTGATAATCTTTAGAACGTTCAAGGAACTCTTTTCCTAAATCCTTTCTTTCATAAGATGCCAAAACTGTTCTGATGTCAGATGGACTATTGCGAGCAACATCTGTGTGAAAACCAAAATAGCAGGATGCATTTTATACAATGCTAAAATGAATAACAATTATGATGATGATCGAAATAAGGTAATAGCCTGGGGATTTACTCCAGGCGCAGAGTGTGAACTTCTATAAATGGAAGAACCCAAAGTATACAAGAGTCTCTGCACTTCATAAAATAAACCCAGTTTATTCAGTTTCAGCGAGGGTTATAATATTTTTGCCTCCGGCTGTAATACTTCAAGAAAAATGTTAATACATTGTATGCAATGAAATCCGAGAATATAACTGTTTCAATTCCACGAGGACAACAATCAAATGGACCATAACATGTGCTTGCAGAAAGGAAATTCAACTTACACTCAAGAAACGGAATAAGATCCAAAAGTGCTGTATCCAGAGGTACATCACCCGTTTCATCGATCTTGAATGGCTTAATCGGGACACAATTTTCTGGCTGAAGGCTATTTTCAAATGCATGACCACTCACATAGATGATTTTCCCTGGATCTCTATTAAGTTTTGAAAGATCCTGCAAACAATAACATACATTAAACACAGCTTTCCAATTCACAAAGGCACATGAAAAATAACACAAAAATTCATACACAGCAGTGAAATTGAGAATAGCAAAAGGCTTAGAAGGCATGCCAGAATTACCATATTTCATTAAAGGAAGCAAGCATTTTGAGAAGTAGCAGCACAGAAACTATACAAATTACAAAATGGTAGAAAAGCAGCTGATATGATCCATGGGGATCACGAAGCTTCACTTACCTTTCCAGACACCATTGATTTTGCAAAATCCACAATGATAGACAGCTTTTCACAAAATTTCAGCTAATGAATTGGACATGCTGAATGGAAGCCTCCACTGTGTCCAAATATCTGCCCTAACTCCAGTGGATTTCTGCTCTTATCCTGTAATTCCTAGACCACTTAACAGCATGTCATTGGTATATCTATATCATTTTCATTAAGACTCTATCCCAGAACCCAGCCCACCCATGAACTAGTGCCACGGACTAGAGCATCACTTCCTTTTCCCCCTTCTTTCTTCAAGGCTTCAGTTTATATCTAAACCTTATGAACCTAAGATAGAATTTCAAATTTTGATTCCAAATTCATCCTTAGGGTGTGGTTTTGGCATTGCAGTTCAAGATTGCAACAGCAGTTGCTAGGTGTGGTTAGCCCAAGCATCCTTAATTATAATTAGGCCAACAATTCTAAACCCCATGATCTGTATTTGCATTCCAAATCACCATTTCAAGCATTCTTTTAAAACATCCACAAACTTGCAGCTTCACATCTAGGATATGAAACTTTAATCAGCAACAACAACTAACATCCATGGCTTCGGAATCATTTAGACATGAGAGTTTCTGGTTTAGAGAAAGTTAAGCAGCATAGCAGTGAATTGTAACCAGCTAAACAAATCCATGTTACAAACTGTTTGGTAAAGATCAATTTTTACTGTAGCTCACAAATAAAGTATAATTGAAAGGACTTAGAAGCGATGCAAATTCTGTTTGTAAGAAACCTCTACATGTCACCCGCATCAAATTGATGAAGAACAATGCAGAACTAAGAAACACATGCCAAGGAAAATGGAATGACAAAAGTCACAAAACATGCTGACAAATAAAAATATATATTTTGAGAAATGAATTTGTAACATGATTACAGAATTTTATCAAACTGATTCAGTTTTGCAGATAAGCAACTGACAAAAGTCACAAAATATGCTGACAAAAAAAAAAAAAATTGAGATCATTTTGTAACATGATTACAGAATTTTATTATACTGATTCACTTTTGCAGATAAACAACTCCAATTCATTCAACTGAACGTTCTAAAGAATGGTCATGAACTCCAATATAGCAAAATTCATGAACTCTAGTATACCAAAATTAAATCTAATGCTTATACACAATTAAGCAAGCAAGAACATAACCAGAACCAAACAGTATTTCCAGATGGAGGACCTCTAATGCCATCACCAGGCCACAAGCAGAGAAGAAATTTTGACTTTCAAAAAGAGAGAAACAGTAAAGGAAACAGACAATCATGTACAAGCAGCAATTGCCAGAGTAAAAATGAGAACAATTGCAAAACCTGGAAAACATCATCATCCTTAAATGAAATGCATCTCAAAGATAACATAAACTACAAAAGGCATGTAAAAGAAAATATGACATACTCTATAATGCTTGCCATCCTGATACTTGGTAGCACTCCTTGATAGCCTGTACCTGATAAAGTGGTTTGTATCCAACCTTTCAACAACAGGATCGACATACTGCAGAAACCCAAAACAGAAAATTCATAATCACAGTGCAACATGGATTATAAAGATTATCCAAAATGGGAGAAAATGAATCTCCATTACCATACTTAGCTGATCCGAATACACCACAATTTCATAGAACCGTCCAAGGTGTTGCAAGAAATCATCTACTCCCGGTCGTTTGAATGTTCGCCAGCCCCTGTCACGCTTCACACAGAGGAACAGAGAATATTATCATTACAGTTTCACTGGATAAAAAGCTTACGTGCATATAAAAGTAAAAATTAGACTGCAAGCATGGATAATTTTCTACAGTGAACATACAGAGACCAGAATGGCGTAGGGAATGTCCCATCCTAAATTGTTTACTTACCAGAACAGAAATGTCAAATGACTGTAATATAATCATGCATACAAGATGTAAAGTTATTGAGCAAAATCTTAAGATATGTTTGACAATACATAATTCCAGCTGAGGCCTTACCTTCCAATCACTATAAATTATTGTCTCGTTAAGATCTAAAACGAGAGTAAAAACATGCTGCTCAGCAGGATGCAAATCAGGAAGAAGTTTATCTGAGGTTGGTTCAGTAAAACCCTGCATAAAGCATATTGAGTTCATGGTTTATAAAGGAAAACATGAAGCCAAGATGTAAAGGAACACATATAACAATATTTGCACTCACTTTGACATGTTCTTCCAGTAGCTTCCTCAGATCCAAGTAAAGTTCCACCGCTTTAGCAGGAACTGGAATATCGTAGGCAGACAAATGAAATTAGTCCAAAGCAAATGATATCACTAGTGAGAGTATCTGCCACCTTGCATTAAAACAGGCATGAAAGAATCACTGAAACAGCCTGACAACATGCAAAAACCTAAGTACCAAAAAAGCAGCATTCTGTCCATGGCTAGTCCTGACTTGTTTATTTCAACATTCTAGAGGTATAGCATGTTTCAGCAATTAATTGGCATGTCTTAATAACACGAAAGGAAAAGAAAAAAAATCCAATAACAAGTAATTTAAGAGAATCCATCTTAAAATCTCAAATTACAGACCGGGGGAGGAAATTAAGAGCTTTTGATGAAAAACAATTTGGCAGAGAGAAGTGGAGTGTCATTAACACTTGATGGGGTGATTATAAAACCAACCTTTGGAAGTCAACAGAGCATTGAACTTAATACAATGGTAGCTAAAATCCTATTGAAGATGCAAAAAAAATCTTAGGACATGCAGATGAAAAGGGGGGCAAAAATAGACTGTTTATGTAATAATAATAATAACAAGAAGAAGAGAAACAATTGGAGGAAGGAGCAAACCTGTCATCACTGTGGAGTACAGCAAACCTTGATACTTCTGAGCAGAAAAATATCAAAATCTGTTTATTTCTCATTCCTTGGAAAAGGTAGGTGCAAACATAAAATCAACTCAACTATATGCCTACAAGCAAATTTAATACTAAGATACCTCAACATTGGAAGCGTCATTACTAGGAGTATAGTTTACTGATTCTCGCAATGTTTTCGTCTTCTCCTCCACTTCATGCAAACTGTAGGCTGAAACATCACCCAAAAACGTAGAATTGTATTTATTTTATTTTTTCCCGTATTCCCAAGTTCAAACACTCAAATATACATACTAGCAGGAGGGCTTTTAGTATATATAATTCAAAACAAACCGTAAGAAGCGTATCCAGCAAAAGCAGTGGCTCCAGTGAGAGCGCCAATAATTCCATACTTGAAAAAGTTCCATGCCTTATTCTCCCGAATCCCCGCAGCCTGCGCCGGAGCTGCCTCCGCCGCCTCCGCCGCCGCCGCAGATTGATCGGGTATAGTTGATTGAGAATAGATGATGGGTTTTTTATTTGAACAAAAGAATCTGCGATTAGGTTTATTGTTTCTTGATATGATTGATAAAATGCGAGATCGAACTACTGAGGAAGCCATATATAATTTTTATTTTTATTTTTTTTGCTTTTGTTTTTGGGTTCGCTGGGTTTAAATAGGGTTTAGTGTCTGCCTGGAATGTTGTAGAGAGACACAGTTGGGAAGGGGAAATAGGTGCTTGGCTGGTTGTTTCATTTCAAGTTTTTAGAGGATCTGTTTGGACGACGGTGTATCGTGCCACTACTCAGAATCTAGAATGTAGAGATTAGAAACTGCCCTGTTTGGTAACCGACTTTAGACTCGAGGAAGTGTTAACCTGTTTTTCAATTGTTTTTCTTTTTTTTTCAAAGTATTAATTTAATACTTTAGTTTTTAAATGTTTTTTAATACACTGATATTTAAAAAATAGAAAAAAATATTTTAATAAATTTTATTTAAATTTTTTTAATACACTGATATTAAAAAAATAGAAAAAAATATTTTAAAAAAATATTTTAATAAATTTTATTTAAAAAACATTTTATACTATATTAATAGACAGAGGTTATTATATAATGATGGATTTATCCATTACAATTTTTTCTATTTTTATTTTTATTTTTTTTATTATTCAATTGCCTGTTTTGAAAATATCATAAATAAGTTAGTGGGGATGGTACTTTCAATTTTCATTCCTTTTCTTATTTATTAATGTGAATTTTTAGCCTAGTTTATATTTATTTTAACTAATTTTATAGGTCTTTAACCATTATATGAGTCTTTAATAATTATTATATTAGTAATCACAAAATTCAAATCTAAAACTATATAAAAAAAATTTAATTTTAATTTTTTACCACTTAATATTTTTTATTTTAGATTTTAATAAAAAGTAGCATTCATTCAAATCTAAAACTATATAAAAAAAAATTTAAATTTAAATTTTTACCACTTAATATTTTTTATTTTAGATTTTAATAAAAAGTAGCATTCATAAGTAAAGGTTTTGTCTAACCTAATATTATTTTAACTATTTTTTTAATTGATATATGATTATTACAAACCTTTAACTTTTAATTAAATTTTACTCTACAAATAATATTTTCTAAAAAAAATTAATTATATAATTACTACTGCAACATTATATTGCAAACGTACAAAAAAATAATCTTTAGGTTCCTAGTGCTCTACTTTATAATTGAATCTTAATTTATGATTGTGAATGATGGATAATAATATAATTATAATTTAATGATTATTTTTTATGTCTGATTGTGCACGTGTGGTGTATGGCCCGACATAAAACAAAAGGAAGCACTTTTTCACTGCTGGCGCTTGTGTCTCCATCCTTGCTATCAATTTTCTTAAAACAGGAACAAGGTTCTCGGTGACCATGTGATCTTGACAATCTCTGTTTACGTAGAATAATTAAGATTATTAATTTAATTTATTTTCATAAATATTTTAAACTATATAATTAATTTAATTTTATAATTTACTCAAAAATAACAATTTGTCACATGAATACAGTGTTGCAGTGATTGTTCTTTTAGAATGAGGTTTTTATAATGACGAGTGAAAGTATTTTTTTTATTCAATAATATTTTAAAAATATTTTACATATAAAATTTATAATTAATTTTTGATATTTTTTGAAATATAAATCAAATTCTCATCATTTTAAAAAACTAGTTATTAAATCCATAAAATAAAAAGATTATTTTTGTGATTTTCAATATGCTAAATTATGCAAATATAATTTTTTTTTGAGAAATTTGGTTATATCCAAATTAAAATAAAAATTATATTTTTTAAAGAAAGATTTTTTGTTATTGTTTTTATGGAAGAAAAATAATTCATTTAATACCCAAAAAACATCTTGCATGTAGATCAAAATTGCTAATATTAAAATAAGAGAGAGTAGAAAAATATGGAGAACTTAAATTAATTGCAAAATGATTTTTCAAAAATCTTGAAAATTTATCAAAATTAGACTAAAGTCATGTTTGACAAAACATAAAAAAATACATTTTAATCAAGCTATTTTATCCACAATATCAACTCAAGATGAAATATTATTCATCAACTCAAAACCAAGCAACATAAAAAATCCACACAAATCTTATTAATTTCACAAACTTTGTTCAAATTACATACTAATTCAAACAAATCAATACAAACTCAAACATAATTCATATATCAATAATTAATGTTCAAAAAGCAATCACAATTCAAAAGGCAAACTCACAATTCACCATAAATATGCAAATCATTTAAAAAAATAAAAAACACATCAAAACTGATTAAAGTGTCTAACAAAGTCTAAAATTATACACAACAATAAATATTATCCTAAATTTCACAATATTTCAGCAATTTATCTAATAAAATAATTTAAGATTATGGATTGACTGTCTATAGCATTTGATGTGTCTAGAATAGACTGAAATTGAAAGTATGGGAATAATAGCAACGCCTAGATCCATGTGTTGTCATAGATTGAAGAGCAAGAATTGATGGAACTGAAGCGACTTTTACTCTTTTTCCCCTTGTGCTAGTGGTAAATGTCATTATTACCTGCAAAAGTATAAAATCACACTAGATAATTTTTTTTTTTTTATGATTTGTTCTTAGTTTCCCTTTTCTTCTTCTCCTCTGCAGATAGTTAATAAGTATGTTATGAGGAGGCTGGAAAGACTTGACTTTATATTAGAACAAGAGTTACTATTATTATTGGTGATGGATGTGGGGGCTACTAATGGATAATTGAAGAGGCCAATTAGAGATGAGGTTCTACTGGTGATGGTGATGAGGGAAATGGTTTTTGCTTGTGATGCCAGAGGAGAGGCAATCGGTGGTTTAGATGGGTTTGAGAATGAGAAGGGTTGTGCTTATTAGAGAGTGAAGGAGAATCAATTATTTGAGTGTTTTATTATTACTTTTTCATTCTCTTCGTAAGGGGTCATGGGTTCTTTGTTTTTTTAAAGAGAAGCATAAATTTATAGTGTGTTGTTGAATGTTTAGGAGGGGATAAAAAACATGTGTCTTTTTTATCACCGAGTGATGATTGAGTTGTTTTTTTGTAGAAAAAAGAATTGTAGTTTTTTTTTTTCTTATGGGAGGGAGGGTCTCCCTATTTAATTGGTTTATGGTCTGTAATTTTTAATAGCTCTTTTAAAACTCCTCACCTCTTTTTTATATGGTACAACCACCTATAAAATGAATTTGTTACTTTTCTTCCAATTGCTTAGTCCCCAAGCAAATATACTACCTAAGCAACCTAAAATCAATTTGGTCTCTCATTTTTCTCTTTTGCACTTTGGTCCCCTTCATCCATATTTTTTTATTTTTAATGTATCTTATTTTTTTGCATTTTGATATTTTTAAAAAAGACAACGTCAACGTCGACTCAATAAGAAAAAATGATCAATAATTTTAAAATGAGCATGATAAAAATTAAACACATTGAAAGCAATTTTTTAATTTTTAATTCTTTTGAAAACATATTGAAAATGGCAAAAAAAAAATGTAAATATGATAAAAATATATTTTTTTTGTTTTTTGTAGATTGTTTTCAAAAACATTAAGAAAATGAGGGTAAAAAATCAAGTGATTACAATTACTTTTCTTTTTACAATATTTACAGTAACATGTTTATGGTCTCTGATTTATTCAAATTACATACTAATTCAAACAAATCAATACAAACTCAAACATAATTCATATATCAATAATTAATGTTCAAAAAGCAATCACAATCCAAAAGGCAAACTCACAATTCACCATAAATATGCAAATCATTTAAAAAAATAAAAAACACATCAAAACTGATTAAAGTGACTAACAAAGTCTAAAATTATACAACAATAAATATTATCCTAAATTTCACAATATTTCAGCAATTTGTCTAATAAAATAATTTAAGATTATGGATTGACTGTCTATAGCATTTGATGTGTCTAGAATAGACTGAAATTGACATTGAAAGTATGGGAATAGTAGCAACGCCTAGATCCATGTGTTGTCATCGATTGAAGAGCAAGAATTGATGGAACTGAAGCGACTTTTACTCTTCTTCCCCTTATGCTAGTGGTAAATGTCATTATTACCTACAAAAGTATAAAATCACACTAGATAATTTTTTTTTTTTATGATTTGTTTTTAGTTTCCCTTTTCTTCTTCTCCTCTGCAGACAGTTAATAAGTCTATTATGAGGAGGCTGGAAAGACTTGACTTTAGATTAGAACAAGAGTTACTATTATTATTGGTGATGGACGTGGGGGCTACTAATGGATAATTGAAGAGGCCAATTAGAGATGAGGTTCTGCTGGTGATGGTGATGAGGGAAATGGTTTTTGCTTGTGATGCCAGAGGAGAGGCAATCGGTGGTTTAGATGGGTTTGAGAATGAGAAGGGTTGTGCTTATTAGAGAGTGAAGGAGAATCAATTATTTGAGTGTTTTATTATTACTTTTTCATTCTCTTCATAAGGGGTCATGGGTTCTTTGTTTTTTTAAAGAGAAGCATAAATTTATAGTGTGTTGTTGAATGTTTAGGAGGGGATAAAGAACAGGTGTCTTTTTTTATCATCGAGTGATGATTGAGTTGTTTTTTTGTAGGAAAAAGAAGTGTAATTTTTTTTTTCTTATGGGAGGGAGGGTCTCCCTATTTAATTGGTTTATGGTCTGTAATTTTTAATAGCTCTTTTAAAACTCCTCACCTCTTTTTTATATGGTACAACCATCTATTTATAGGTAAAATGAATTTGTTACTTTTCTTCAAATTGCTTAGTCCCCAAGCAAATATACTACCTAAGCAACCTAAAATCAATTCGGTCTCTCATTTTTCTCTTTTGCACTTTGGTCCCCTTCATCCATATTTTTTTATTTTTAATGTATCTTATTTTTTTGCATTTTGATATTTTTAAAAAAGACAACGTCAACGTCGACTCAATAAGAAAAAATGATCAATAATTTTAAAATGAGCATGATAAAAATTAAACACATTGAAAGCAATTTTTTAATTTTTAATTCTTTTGAAAACATATTGAAAATGGCAAAAAAAAATGTAAATATGATAAAAATATATTTTTTTTTGTTTTTTGTAGATTTTTTTCAAAAACATTAAGAAAATGAGGGTAAAAAATCAAGTGATTACAATTACTTTTCTTTTTACAATATTTACAGTAACATGTTTATGGTCTCTGATTGGATTTTTAATTTTCAAATAGAATTTAATTTCTAAAAAATATGTACA